TAAACGCTGAAAGCATCCGAGAAGCCTTTAAAGATATGTATGTACAACATTTAAAGTTTCATCCAGTTCTTAAAGTAACGTTATAAGCCATACTTATAAGTATATTACCGATTTTCGTTTTCTCTCTCGTCACAAAGTTACCCTCTTGATCACTCTCACAAATGCTTTCCTCCAATAACTATGTTCCGTCATGAGTTCAGTGCAGTTTTGGTGCACTTGTGACACTTACAGTACAAATTAAAAAAATGCAATTCCAAATTTCTTTTCACTTTCCTCAACTTTTGTGCGTATGTGTTGCTTTGATTTTTTTCTTTATAAAATATTGATATGAAAATGTGGAAAATTTGCATGGACAACGTGACTTTGTTTTCTTTTTTCTTAAATAAAAATAAATTTTATGATTAAGGTTCATACGATACAAACACAAATAAAAACATGATTTTATATTAATACTTATCATTAACACAAATTTACACAAGTTTAATTTTTTAAAGTATATTTTCAATTAATTCTTTTTTAAATTGTGTAAAGTAAAAATACATTTTGTTTTCATATTTTCAGTATTTCAATAAAGCCGCCTTTTAGTTACATACGCATCAGAAAATGAAGTCAAGGCCTACTTCTGGGTAATATAATAGCGTTTTCTTTTCTCAAAATAGGTTTTGCCCATTTATACGGGAACTCTTGATTTGCGTTGCCCTGAACCTGAATCAGAATTTCATTTATAGAACTTAATAAAACTTCTGTAAACTATTCACTTGCACAGTAAGTCTTTTATTAATTTCATAGGAAAACACTTTAATTTTTACAAGCATAAATTAAAAATCAACCGTGCAACTCCCACCCGGGATAACCGGATATCCAGAAATTAACTGGTTATGAATAAAACAGAACGGATATTAACCGTAGTTCCGGCTCTTATATGTACGCACGAATACCCGAACGGACATCCAAATACATGGATAGTCCCAGCCCGTGTTTTAAGTCTCTTCGTAAAAATCTTTCTTTCAATAGCGGTGACAACCGGCAGGCATCGGCAAACGTCCGAGTGCATTTCTGTCATGAAAAAGCTACTCATTAAAGCCACTTGCCGTTGTGTGACAACATCAAAGCACACATCACAAATCGAAGGGGAAGCTCGTCGAAGCACTCGCAACTGTGTAAAACTGCAGTTAGTCAACGACGTAGCGTAAACGTAGGTCAACGTACGTAGCAGCATATCAAATTTACTGTTGAGAGAGAGAGAAAGAAGCAACGACAACGTCACCGCCATGCGGTAGTGAGTTTTCGTTAACACGCGAATCCCGTAAGGTAGATCGTGTCTGCGTCAACCTACGTCTACGTTACGGCGTTGACTGTTTGAGCTTTAAGCGTCAAATATTTTGTTTAGTCAATAACTCATGATATAACAGGACACACTGCCCGACAGCATTTTTAAAGCAGGATATCAATGGTATATTTGTGAAAGTGTCACAGTCCAGAATTTCTCAGCTTTATATTATCTGCACTCAAAAGTTAAAGAGTCACCACGTGTCTTTGTCTACAAAACTTTGATGTTGAAGAAAAGAGATTTCTTAAAAAAAAGTTAAATAACTATTTCGTGCTTATTAAACTTCCGTCCCCCACAAACCATTTTTTCCTATACTTTTTTAAAAATTGTCGTACACTTTTTTCCAAAGGCTACCAATACTAAGTAAAATATTTACAAAAAGTGTTTGGCCGATTTTCTCCTCCAACTTGTGGCGTGTTCGTCCTGATGTTATAACACAAATGGTTAGTTGGTTGTAATGCCTCCCATGTTTCACTCAGGGCTCAATTGGCGAATAATAGCACAGAATAATAGCTGCAGTTTTTGTGGACGATTTAATTTTACTGTAGTCTATCTCTCAAGCATTTGTGCAGTTTAAACAAACCACTTTTAATCGCTTATAAATTTGTGCATATCACTTATTGTAGCACTAGATAAATCGGCTAACTGCGTCATTATGTGTTGCCCGAAAGTGATATGCCTTAAGTAAGGAAGCCTTGGGAATTCACACAGGAAATTAAATACTGTTGCTTGCTGCACTCTATCCCGCACCTGCTGCATATATCGTTATATCGAAGTCCCATTCTATAGACATACATTCCTAGCGGATTATAGTTGCTACAAACCCAAATACAGCAGCTTTGCTGTTCTTTTCCTACTATAGTCAGGCGAAAGCTCACGTGTTATCTTGCAAGTCTGAATCTCTGACCGCCTCCTCCTTGCCATCTTCTTTTTCATGTCAATAAATGGTTTTGATCTTTCATAGACTTTAGTCATCGCCCCCTCTAAATTGCTTACGTTTCGTTCTATCCCATCTAATGAGGGACTATTTCCTCCTACATTGCTTTCAATTATTTGCTGATTTAGAATTTTGTCATGTCTCAGCTTTTTCAAGGCAGAAGTACACTCGGAGGTTTGCCATTGTCTGCCAAGGGGCGATCGCTGTTAGAAAACACTTCTTCTAATTTAGCTGTTGCTCGGACCAGGTATCGAACCTGGGTCCTATGGAGTAGTAGTACGCACCTTAAACTGTTATATCGGACAAAATTCATAAAGTCTCTTAATTTAAACATAACAAGTAATTTTTAAGCAAAAAACAAAACCGACTTCAATTCTCATATGAAAATTTAAGAATATCGTTAATTTCGTCATGATCCGATGATCGAATTTAAACCAAATTAATACGGGACCCTCTGTGAGGTAACACCTTTCCTTATAGAAATCGGTTAACGTGGTCCAAAGTTGTGCGGTAACATACATAAAAAAAACAAGTAAAGAAGTATAAGTTCGAACTTTATACACACGGCGCAGGTATCAAATATCTTCGTTTCAATTTTCTCTGAACCACCTTTGCATGAAAAGTAGGGGTCTTTACCCGATTTCAAACGTTTTGGGTAATATGCAGAGTTGGACTTAATGATATAATTGAACCTAGTTAGGTACAAATCGATTAAGTGGTTACCGAGGTACAGCTTTGTAGTTATAAGGTGGGCGGTGCTACGCCCAATTCCTAAAAGTCTATACAAGTTTCATTTCTTGTTAGGAGATTGCTGTAACCATTAACTTGAAGTAAATTAGCGTACTCAGTTATTAAAATATCGGAGTTTTCGTATTTCTGAAATTTACCGTTATACGGGAAGCGGGTGTAATTTTAGTCCGATTTGATTAATTTTCAACAAATGGCTTTTCCATACGACGGTTATTAAGTGCAGTTTGGTGGAAATTGATAAATCGGTTACCGAGATACACATTTATGGTTATAAGTGGGCGGCGCCACGCCCATTATCCAAAAATTTGTAATATTCTAATTGTCTGCTAAGTGATTATTTCAATCATCGATTTTAAGTGAATGAGCTCCAGTAGTTACTGATTATTGCCCGATTTCAAAGATTTTCAACAGATTTCTTAGCTAGACCCTACCCAAGCCTCGTACCGTTTGGTAAGGTTTGGTGAAGCGGCTACTGAGATACAGCATTTCATCATAAGTGGGCGGGGTTACGCCCATTTTCCAAACATTTCATAACAATAATATTTTTTACCACAATTCTACTCCACATACAAGTTTTCAACAATTTTCATCTAATATTTACTGAAATATCCCAGTTTTTGCATATTTTTATACCCGAGCGCACTTGTGCACAAGGGTATATTAATTTTGTTCACATAACGGTTGTTTGTAACAGCCAAAACGAATCGAGATAGATATAGACAAATGTATACATAAATGATCAGGATGAAAAAAGAAATCGATTAAGCCATGTCTGTCTGTCCGTCCGTCTGTCCGTCTGTCCGTCCGTCCGTGTACACGATAACTCGAGCAAAAATTGAGATATCTCAACGAAATTTGGTATGTAGGTTTCCCTTAATCCAAGGTAGGTTGGTATTGAAAATGGGCGAAATCGGACTGTAACCACGCCCACTTCCCATATAACGGTAATTTCCAGAAATACGAAAACTGCGATATTTTAGTAACTACTGAAGATAATTCACTCAAAATTGATATTTGTAATAGTTTACAGACGAAAAATAAGAATATTATAAATTTTGGGAAAATGGGCGTAGCCACGCCCACTTATAGTTACATGTGTATATCTTGGTAACAGCTGCACTAATTTTTTCTAATGCTCATCACAGTTGTTGGCCTTGATACAGCATACTAAATGGCCGAAACTTTTAAAAGTCGGACAATAACCACGCCCACATCCCATATAACGGTAATTTAGAGAAATACAAAATCTTCGATAAATCAGTAAATATTGAAGCTAATTTATTCAAAATTGATGCTTGCAACAATTCTTTACCAAGAAATACGTTTATGGTAAAATTTTGGAAAATGGGCGTGGTACCGCCCACTTATGATCACATATAAGTATATCGGTAACCGTTCCACCAATTTGTACAAAACTCGGTGTGGTTATTGTGCTTGCCAAATATAAGCAAAACGTTGAAAATTATTGAAATCGGACTAAAATAATGGCCGCTTCTCATATAACGGAAAATTTCAGAAGTGCTTGAAACTTCAATATTTCGAAATTGAAGGACGCTAATTTACTCAAAATTGATCCGGGGTGTATCTTACCATCTAGCGGAAGGTTTCGGAAAGGTGAAAAAACATATATTTAATACTTGCGCCGGGTATTTAATATTCGGCTCCGCCCGAACTTAGACTTTCTTACTTGTTTTAAATATCGTTATATGGAAAGTGGGTGTGGTTACAGTTCGATTTTTCCCATTTTCAATACCAACCTACCTTGGATAAAGGGCAACCTACATACCAAATTTCATTGAGATATCTCAATTTTTGCTCGAGTTGTCGTGTACACGGACAGACGGCCCGACGGACGAACGGGCAGACAGACATGGCGTAATCGACTTCTCTTTTCATTCTGATCATCTATGTATGTATGTATTTGTCCATATCTATCTCGATTAGGTTTGGCTGTTACAAACAATCGTTATGCGAACAAGGTTAATGTACCCCTGTGCAGAAGTGCGCTCGGGTATAAAAATATTCCGACTAATTGATAACCTTTCTCCTTTTTCTGAAGTCGGTTTAAAATTAAAAATAACCAAAAACATTTGCAAATTTCTCCCATGCAGACTGCAGCTTTGCACTTTATGTAAATAAACATGTACAAACGCTCCGGAAGGTTGTAACTTTTTAAATCTTTGGTTAAATGCGAGATCGTCGGAAGTTTTATTGTTTCCACACTACCCGTAGTTTTTGGTAAGCAATGTTTTTCTCAAAGACATCAAAGTTGTATGGCCTCGAGATTTTGGGCTTGCGCTGACCTTTGAATACAAACAAAACAAACCTCAGGCATATTGGGCTATGAAATTATTCAATAAAAATGACCAGCACAATGTTCTCTTTCAAAAGTATGGACATGGTTATTCTGTGGCAGATTAAATTTTTTTGGCTGTGGTCAGGGTGTCCAGACTGTTTTTACAAAAAAACGCATTTCTGAAAAAATAATCGCCAAAAATCGCCCAATTTTTTTTTTTTAATAAAATTCATGAAATCGACTTAACAGATATTTTATTTTAAAAATGAGATCTTGTTATAACATAGTTTTTAATTCCAAAAACGAATGTAATACCTTCAAGGTAATAATAAATAATACAATAAATATAGTTATGTACAAACGAATGTTCTTTAAAAATATGCACACTTTTAAGAAATGTTCGTATTAACACTATTTGCAGTAGGACTGCACAATTAGTATATGAATACTATAACTCACATTAATTGATTAATCGCACAATTCGCTTTTATGCGCTTAGTGCTAAAAATAAAATAAAAATCTACTTCCACGAATGAAATTGCAAGTTTCACATATTAGTAAATGTTCGATATGTTACAGTAAAATCGGCAAACAATAAAAAGTGTTGCCACATCAAAACCAAAGCTCTAACTCCACAACCTAGTACTTTTCATGTCTTTCGACGCATTTACATGGTAGCGCGCAAAAATTGTATTTGAAGGGAAAGAATCGCGTAAAATCGCCTAAGGCGATTTCCTAAATTTTTACGCGCAAATATCACAAATAAATCGCCAAATTGGCACTAGATCGCCCAATCTGGACACTCTTACTGTGGTATTTTTGCAGGTTTATCTCTCTTCGACAAGCATACACTTTGCTTTCGATTAAAGCTTTGGTAGTTATAATCACAAACTTAGTAAGTGTCATCGGAAAACCTACGTTTATTATTTAGCTTCTTTCGGTTTATATTTTTTTAAGCATGCGTGATAATGTATTATCTTAGATTAGATACAACCAATCTATGTTCCATGAGAGTAGAGTTTTAAAGCTTGCTATACGTTTTATGTGCACGCGCACAGAACGAAAGCTCTTTCGTGTCCGCACTGTCAAACACTTGAAAGGCCTATGCTGTGTTCGATTTTTTTTGTCAAAACGGTTACCAAGCGTATTACAAAACAATCATCAAAAATCACCGGAGTTCTGTGTTTCAGGACATATTGATTTTATATAAGTTCCTAAGCTGACTACCAAAAATTTCTAAGTATGAAATTTAAGCGCGTATCTTACATATGTGGCAAAAGGTGAGGTCACACTGATTTCTAAGAGTCTAAAACATCGAAATTGATCCGGAAAACTTCAAAGTAAAAGTAAACGGTTATTTTAACTAAGGAATTTCTTGATTTAAGTTTCTGTTGGTTTTGCTTTCCCCTACTGATTAAAACCAAAACAGCTTTATTTTTGCGAAGGTGATAACAAACCGATGAGAATTTGTTTGCACAACAGGTTCTTCTCCACTACTCCTCAGTTTCCCATGAAAGTTTTTCCTGTGTATCGTACAACAACCTTCCCTATAGCAACTACAGCAACAATAAATATTTTGCATAAATCACTTAAACTTTCATCCCACAGGCGGCTTGCGTGAACCCTGGAAACAGCAACGCAGCCTCAACGAGCGTGATCTCTTAAGTGTGACGAATTCATATGGCGCCAACGACTATCGCCTGACCAATACGAACCGCCTCTACTCCTCTGCGGATCGTGATCGCTACGACCTGCATCGCGAACGCCTAGAACGATATCCGCTCACGCGAACAGCTCGATTGGATGTACAGCAACACAACACCTACAACAGGACAAATCACGATCGACAATCAACGGTCACTGGAAGTGGATTGTATACGGCGCGTCGGGCGCCTTCATTAGTCACGGCTACGGCAACCTCTGGGGGCGGTGGTAGCAGCAACAGCAGTGCTGGTAGCTACCACCACCAAAAAGCACAACAGCACCATATGAATCCACAAATTGTGATTGACGATAAACCATTGCCGGCAAATGCTTATGAACGCTATAGCAGTGGGACTGGTACGCGCAGTGAAGAGAGTAGTGTTAGGCGAACAAATACCCCTGAGACTGGTAGCCTCGGACGAGATCGCCGTTTAGTCACGGATCTCTATTGGGATGAAAATCTCACAGCGGGTAATGCAGCGCAAGACTCGAGACGCTACACAGAGCGCAGAATAAAGAAAACAGTACGATTTGATGGGCACGATGATCCGTTGGTAACAACAGCAAGTGTCGTAAGCGGCTCACTGCCACCAGTTACACAAATTCTGCCTTCAACGGCTATGGAAGTGGGAGCTGCCACTATACTGACCAGTACCAAATTAGGCGCAAACGCAAACACTGCCAATACGATAGGCATTTCGGATGCGGCCGCTGCCGATTGGACACATTGGGACGCTGAACGACAGGGTAGCCAGGATTCGGCAACCAAAGACTCTGGCATCGATACCAGCAGCACGTTCACGAGCAGCGAAGACTCAAATCGTGGTGATGGGCCAAAGGTAGATTTAAAACTCTATGAATTTGATGACTCTCGCCTGAACCCCAAGGACTGATACGCGACCCTTTCCGTCTGACAAATGCTTCTTATCTGCCTCTGTTCTTAGTGTGGTGACATGTGCTACCGCTGCAACAAATTCCTTATGTGAAGGTTTTTTTTTTGTTTTTGGTTTCTCGTTGTGATAGTGTTTATTGATCCTTCATTTAAAAAGTTGTAATTTGAAATTGAGGTTTTGCATTGAACAAATGATATTTTGTAATGATTTCACCGCTTCTTCAACTAGGCCGATTCTTTCTACATTTACATACATAATTCGTATTTCGTTCATACAATAAAATATTTTTACATAAATATACGCAAACAAATACATACCCGTATTAGAGCATGATCGTACATAATACATACATACATACATATGCGTGGATATACTACTCCATAATTATTTAAGTATTATTTGTTTGTTGGAAATGATTCTACTGATATTTGCACAATTATGTACATATATTAAACGCAATTCATAGCTTTGATGTCTGCTTTTTAAAATTCCTATGTATTTGGAAATAAAGTTGTTTTGTATATACATACATACAAAAAAATATTGCACATTTTAGAAAGTTCGTTACAGAGACCAAAACTTTAATTCACTACTCATGAGAATATACAATTTCCTCATCATAGTTTATATATGTAAAAATGTACCTAAAATTTATCACAAGCTTGAATTCCAGAATTCTAATGCAAGAAAATTTAAATTGAAATGCTAGGCACCAGCATAATTATTTTATTTTTTTTTTAACCCAAGAGAATGGGCCTCATGCATAAAAAGTGAGCTTAAGCTCCGACTCGATTTTCAGTACAAATTCTTGAGCTTGAGCTCACCCTTTCAGTGCAAAAATTAAGTCTGAGCTTAAGCTCACTTTTTATGCATAAGGCCTATTGACCAGTTTTAAAAAATTTAGCACACAACTAGTAGAAAACAAGAGACCGAGGAGGCGGCGAAATCAGAAAACTCAATTCGGTTCCACACAGATGGATCCAAGTTAGATAACAACTCTAGTAGGCGGAGGAGTAGATAAACGCGGAGTAAATCAGGATGATGGCACCATTGTAGTCATAAAAAATAATATATATCCGAGCCTTTTACTGAATCAATCGCGGTACGAATATGATGATATCCGCGAAAAAGCTTTACTCGAACAGAGGCGTAACTATAGGGCGGCAGGGCTGGCAAATGCCACGGGCTCCCGATGCGAGAGGGCACCGGTCCAAGAGACTGCGAAGTCAGAAATAACCTACACTTTTTTATTACTTAAAATTAATTAAAGTTAGACACAACTAATGAGCATTTCCACAGAATGGTCAACCAGGACCGACAACTAAAATGAACAATCGGTTGTATGGGAGCTATAAGTTATAGTGGTCCGATTTCAATGGTTCCGACAAATGATTAATACATTATAAAAATAGAATAAAAATAAACTTTTCAATATACCACGCATTCATAAATGGGCTAAAAGGTAAAAAATAATATTTCTCAGTCCCATAGAATTGGTTTTGATAACTTTTGATTTTGAAATTTTAGCAAAAGTCATTGTAAATAATTTAAAAGACTGAAAACGATAAACAAAGCATTAGATTTAATTGACAATAGCCAAACTATATAACATTGACCTAAAATTTCTACAGCTCAAGTAAAAATTTGGATCTATTTTAAGCGATCGTTATTCATATACTCACATACATACATATATTACTTTCCATATCAATTCAGTCTATTTGATGCGCCCCACGCTCTTCATTTTCAATCTCATAAATTGTTTATGACTTTCGCAAAAATTTCAAAATCAAAAGTTATGAAAACAAATTATATGGGACTGAAAAATGTTATTTTCTACTTTTTAGTACAATTTTAAAAGCGTAGTATATTAAAAAGCTTTTTTTATTCCATTTATTTTCTTCTTTTTAGTCTTGTCTGTATACAATTTTGTACAAGACATTAAAATAATTCAACGATATTTATAAATTGGTGCTCACACATATGTTAGTGTTTGGCCGAGCACTCCTCTGATTTGTGGCGTTCGCCTTTATGTTGTCACACCTACAGTTTTACGCTGACTCCGAACGGCGATTGTATTTTTATTAGAAGCTGTTTTTCATGGCAGAAATTCACTCGGAGGTTGGCTATTGCCTGCCGAGCGGCGACCGCTACCCAAAAAGACGACACTCCCAGAGTCCAAAAACACGTTAAAAACACCTTAAAAGGATTTCAAACGCCTCAAAACGGCCACTGGAATTCAAATCAACCAACTGAGCCCCAAATGGTATAAAAGTATCGAAACAAAAGAGAAAATAATAAAAATTTATGTTTTCCTTGTTTTTTGCACTTCAAAAGCGTACGAACGTACGGTTCGCAACCGTTGGAAATGCTCATGTATGTACGTATTCTTTATTTTATGTCATTCTGCTTACCTGAAGTATAGACTGAATTGATGTTTTTGTTCCAATTCCTGCGCCTAGTGCCGAACGATCATTTTCGAAACTAAAATTAATAAACCCCTATTTGCAAAACTCTATGGGACAAGACAGGCTACATAACTTGGCTATTCTGTCTATTGAAAATTCTATGGCTCTATCTTTAAACTTTGATGATGTTATAGATTGTTTTGCGGAACAGAAAAGCTCGGAGAGAAGAATTTTATAAATAAATATCTTATCAAAATTCATTTTTTATTTCATTATAAATATGTATGCTCTTGAAAATTAAAATTCAGTAGACATTTAACTAAAGTGCACACATTATTGTTAAAAGTGTTGGGTAACTACTTAAGTGGTTTATTAAAATTAAATTACATCGGGACGGTTTTTACTGGGAGGCCCGATCCAAAGAGTTTGCCACGAGCCTCAGATGATATAGTTACGCCACTGAATTCAAACCAAATTAATACGAAAATACATACATATACATACATACAATTGTAATTCAAAACATAAGCACCGCTATTTGGTTTTAGTGTTAGCATTTTCGTTGATTGATCGTAGAATGGCTACCAAGGCATAGTAATATCCAAACAAGTAACGTTCCGTATTATAGATGGGTGCGGGACTAATAATCAGCGAATGCAAAACAGAAACACATCAGTACCTCTAAATATCGAACGCTATCTGGTCAGACGAGGGCATGATAAAAATAAAGGAGCTTCTCTCGCTAAGAAAGAATCAAAACCATCATTAGTTAAAATGAGATTTACAGAACAATCAGATATTAATATGCGGTATGTAATTACTTTGGCCCATAGGTCTATTGTGTCTTTACTCTTCGCAAAACTTCTACTAAATAAACTTAAGACTCCTGAAAAGTTCTCTCTCGTCTACTGGAAATCGCATCTAATTCGACTGAAACGTGCAATAGTATATCTTTGCCCAAGTCACATAAGCAGCAGATACAATGCTTAATTAATTGACGGGTAACACCATCAGAAATTAAAAAATCAATGACCTTCAACCGCGACACTGTATAGACACACCTTTCATGACGGAGATGAACGTTTCTGTGGGAAGTCCATAAAACGAGTTCAGTAAGTTCTGACTTGTTGCGTTAAGAAGTTTTCATACGTACATATCGATGGCTGAGTGGAAGATCGACCTATCTCGGCAGCCAGTTCGAAAACGCTCTATCTCAAAAAACTTTCAAGAACGCCCTACTTCAGAATTTAATTGAAAAACATCATATCTCAAAATACGGTACAAAAACGCCCTATCTCACTTCAAAATGTATTGAAAATATGCTGATATAGGGCGTTTTTGAATCGACAGCTGAAATAGGGCGTTTACGAAACGAGTTCTGAAATAGGGCGTTCTTGAAAAGTTTTTTGAGGTAGAGTGTTTTCGAACTGGCTGCCGAGATAGGTCAATGTTCCACTCAGCCATCGATATGGTCAGATATTAAATATCGGTTAAACAGCCTCATATAAATTTCTATAGCGTTTTTTTGGATCCGTACACAACAATACATACCCTCAAAACTTCCTTCCGCTTTTATTTGCACTTCCTAACACCATAACATTCTAACTCTCTCTCTCTTCGTTTTAAATCATTTAAAAAATTGTTTGCGTAATGCCTGATTTCTGATAAAACATTCTTATGTATTTATTTATAGTGATTGTGTTTATATAAATGATTATTGCTTTTTTCAATTTTAATGTTAAATTTTGTATATGTATGTCGCATGCAAATATTTAAAATAATAATAAAAAAATAAATGCTGATCTCTAAAAAGAATGAAATTTGAAGCTTGACAGTGGTGTCTACTTCTATGTGTGTGTTCTCATGAATTTGTATTAGTTATGAAATAAAGCCTGTAATATACATACATACTTGTTATTAAGAAAACTTTTATTGTCCTATGAAAATATAAAAAAATCATTTCTATTTTTTTTTGTAAAAGTCTGTGATTATCATCAATTGTACTAAAATATTCATAAACTTTTATGTATGCTTTATGTATGAAAATTTACACAGAGAATGTACAACATACATACAATATGTATTTATTAATTTAAGCTACTCTAATAAGTTTATAAGCTCGCGCAGTTTCTTCAATTCTATTTGTAAAATACTTTACTCAATTTTATGCGTATATATGTATATAAAGCATATACATATCTAGTGAAGATAATTAAGCAGCTACGTCTATCCACGTACTAACCTTAAGCCTAATCCAAGCAGCAAACTTCGTGTTTGCTTTCAGTAATTTTTTTGTATTATATATACTAACAATTAAAAGGAGAAAGAATTTAACAACTCTTAAAAACGTTTACCCATTTTCCATTTACAATGTTTTATGCAACATCCACCTCCGCTACCTTCTCCTACTCAAACGCAAATATAACGAACTTCTCAAACTCAAAAAACTAATCGTTTCGATTGGTCACACCACCATTCCATCTACGCAATCCTCCACCACAATCACCATAACAAAATTTCACCAATCAACTTCTTACCAACAACAACTTATATCTACGAAATTTATACAAAACAACAACCCTGCAAATAATAACTTATTCCAAATCCATTGTTAAATTTAAAAAAAAAAAATGGATAAAAACAAAATTTAAAAAATCGCAAAACCACACATGTACGTACGTACAAACATAGCAACCGGTGAATTGGCAAATATCCGCGGATAACACTCACATGGTTGGTCACATGATATTAAAAAAGTATTACGACGGTGAGGATATTCTCGGCTTAAAAATCATAGGCGGTCAGCAGCTTGCGACATCTTCACCGGCAACAACGGACTCCAGCGGGAATAGTGAGATCAGCGGTTGCGGTGCGATCGTGGAAAAAGTAAAGCGCGGTTCAGTAGCCGATGTCGAAGGGCATATACGAGCAGGTAAACACATGGCGAGCAAGCACCGCAATCATGCATGCATAAATCTTAAAGCACTTTAGATTGATTTCGTGCTCTCAATAACATCCCAGTCGGAAAAGTAGTAATGCATTACATGCGTGATAAATAATATAATGTATTTCTTATGAGTTTTCGATTATATTACTGATAACTATGTAATCAGCAGTCTAATGTATCCAAAAAGTCCAAAAATTGCATATTAAAACACATTCATTTCTCGATACTAGGTAATGAAAAATTGAATGCCCACCTTTCTTAGGACAACGCCCTTTTCGAATGTAATACGGGTTGTTTAACTGATTATTTTTTCGATTACTATACGTTACATTTTCCCACTGGGATGCAAAGATAACTACGTACACTCCCATACTCTTGAATAGGCACAATGCTTTTTCGCTTTTCATGCATTATTTTACCTTTATTTATTTTTCCATAAAAAAAAAATACCCAGCCCATTTGAATGGGCTGCAGATCTGCTTACTAAAAATTCTGAGAAAGAAGTTGGACAATTTAAATCATATTTTTTAGTTTTCTACAAACTTTGAAACTACCTTTATATGGTTTTTGTTAGAGAATGAACTGTATTTTTTATTAAGAAATAATGGAAATAAAAAAAATAGGAATAGGGAAATAAAATAAAATACAATAACAAAATAAAGATAAAATGATAAAAGAACACAAAAAAAATATATATTAATTAATAAATTAAATAAAAATAATCTAAAAAAATTAATTTCAATTTAATTAAATCAAGTTAAATAAAATGCAATTTACTATATTAATTAAATTAAATTAGTCGATGATACTTTACAAGAGCGTACAATTGCTGGCGTATGCCGACGACATCGATATTATCGGTAAAAACAAGGGCTACGTCTGTTCTGCCTTCTCGGTATTGGATAGAGAAGCAAAGCGAATGGGTCTGATGGTGAACGAGGACAAAACGAAGTATCTCCTGTCATCACACCAACAGTCANCCGTCTTTGCACCCACGTCACTGTTGACAGTAAAAAGTTTGAAAAAGTAAACGACTTCGTTTATTTGGGAACCAGCATTAACACCAATAATAATGTCAGCCTTGAAATCCAACGGAGAATCACTCTTGCCAACAAGTGCTACTTTGGGCTGAGTAGGCAATTGAGAAGTAAAGTCCTCTCTCGTCGTACAAAGATCACACTCTATAAGTCACTCATCATGCCTGTGCTGGTGTATGGCGCGGAAGCATGGACA